TATCCATTGGCGATTAACACATTGGAGAGATTCTGTAACTCAGTTGTCAAGTGGTCTTTGTCAGCCAGGCGTTTGGTTCTGGAGATGAGAGTCTTGGCTACGGAGTTTATTTGTGCAGGGTGGTGGTGTGATTGTGCATGTAAGTAGCGGTTGGTGTGTGTTTTTTTCCGGTAGATAGTGTGTCCTAGGGAGCCATCAGGTTTTTTGTAGATTAGGACGTCAAGGAAGGGAAGTTGGTTGTTGGCTTCTATTTCCATAGTGAATTGTATTTTGGGGTGTAGGCTGTTGAGATGTGTGAGGAAGCTATCTAGTTTTTCCTTCCCGTGTGGCCAAATTACAAAGGTGTCGTCAACATATCTGAGCCAAAGTTTTGGGTTTGTGTTCTGACTTGTCTAAAGCATTGGTTTCAAAGTGTTCCATGTACAGGTTTGCGATGACCGGTGAGAGTGGTGATCCCATAGGTGCTCCTTCTATCTGTTTGTATCTTTGTCCATTGTGGATGAAGTACGTGTTGGTTAGGCAGTGGTTGGTCAGGTCCAGGATGTATTCGGGGGGATTGTATTTGTTTTGAATGGCTGTCAAGGCTTCATTAATGGGCACTTGTGTGAAGAGAGATACAACATCGAAGCTCACAAGTAGGTCATTGGGATGTAGGTTTTGCTTCTTTATTGTTTCTATGAACTGGAAGGAGTTTGTAACGTGTGAAGAGATGGATTCTGCATAGGGCTGAAGTTGCTTAGCGAGAAATTTAGCGAGATTTTGTAGAGGTGAGCCTATGGAGCTGACTATTGGTCTGAGTGGTGTTCCTTCTTTGTGTATCTTGGGGAGGCCGTAGAGTTTGGGGCATCTGGATGATTTTTCTCTGGGGATGATTCTTAGCTGGATTTCTTCACTGATAGGAGAGGCTTTATTTTGGATTTGGTGGTTTTTTCCAGATAGGTGGTGGGATCTGTTTTTATAGGTTGGTAGGTAGGGTCTTGGAGTAGATTTGATAGTTTTGCTTGGTAGTCCGATGTGTTCATCACAACAGTGGCATTACCTTTGTCTGCTGGGAGAATGATTATGTTGTTGTCTTTCCTCAGGTTGGTGAGTGCTTTCTGTTCTTCTTTGTGTAAATTGCTTCTGGGTGGTTTGCTGGAGCAGAGGATGTTGGTGACTTCAAGTCTGATTTTATTGGCTTCATCTGGGTTGATTTTGCCCTCCCCACAAAAACCGACACCAGATCCAGAGGCACACAGAACGCCATCACCAATCAACCACACCCAGACCCCAAACCCAGACCTCTCCACAGATAAATTACAGACACCATCCAGTAAGCCAACCATGGTGGCACCTCGCGGATTGCTGCACCCCCCTGCAATACTACACAGATCGGGCTGGCACAGGGCACAAAACCACAGCTCGCCCCTATACACGAAGCCAAGCCAGAGCACAACTAAGTGCAGTACAGCCATCTTCTCAGAAAAACTCTTCCACAAAGTTCAAGAGGTCAAGACACGAAGGCTTTAGCAACTATCCACACTAATGACCCACCTAAGTGTACTCAGAATATCACTCAAGAAATCACTCAAGATATCCCTCAAGTAATTAAGGAACAAAAGAAGAAAAGGCCACACTAGCCCTGGGAACTTCCTCTCTGCCCAGAACATTGGAGGCTATCACACCACACCCCTCAACAGTATTTATAGGAACTCAAACACTGAGATCCTGCTCTGTTCCAGTAACAAGAAGCCGAAAGCACCAGCCTGAAGATGACGAGTGAGACCCTCGTCGAACGTCGCCTAGACCACCCCAACTTTTACACGGGAAGACACCCGAGGACACCAAAACCTGCATATATATGCAGGTATATATGGAGGGTGGTGGCACCTCCGGATGCTGCAGCCGCCCCCTGCAATCCCTTACAACAGATCTGGGCTGGCACAGGGGCACAAAACCACAGCTCGCCCCTATACACGAAGCCAAGCCAGAGCAAACTAAGTGCAGTACAGCCATCTTCTCAGAAAAACTCTTCACAAAGTTCAAGAGGTCAAGACACGAAGGCTTTAGCAACTAATCCACACCCTAATGACCCACCTAAAGTGTACTCAGAATATCACTCAAGAAATCACTCAAGATATCCCTCAAGTAATTAAGGAACAAAAGAAGAAAAGGCACACTAGCCTGGGAACTTCCTCTCTGCCCAGAACATTGGAGGCTATACACCACAACCCCTCAACAGTATTTATAGGAACTCAAACACTGAGATCCTGCTCTGTTCCAGTAACAAGAAGCCGAAAGCACCAGCCTGAAGATGACGAGTGAGACCTCGTCGAAACGTCGCCTAGACACCCCAACTTTTACACGGGAAGACACCCGAGGACACCAAAACCTGCATTCCTGTACCCGTGAAAATCTACGAAAGCATATATATATATATATATATATATATATATATATATATATATATAATATAGGTACCTGTTCAACTGCCAAAGTTAGAACACACTACACTTTTGTGGAAAGGATGTGAGAAATTTAGGCAAGTGTTAGTTTTATTGATCTGAAGACATTTTTAAGGGAAGTAGCTGTGTTGGTCTCTTGCAACATGAACAAAAAAGTATTGTGGCACCCTAAAGACTACCCAAATTCATAGCATCTGGATTCTTCTTCCAATCGAGTACAGCAGTACCTTGGTTCTCAAACACCTTGGTTCCCAAACGCCAAAAACCCGGAAGTAAGTGTTCTGGTTTTAAAATGATTTTCGGAAGCCGAACATCCAATGTGGCTGTTGGCTATTGTTTCCAGGGTGCCTGCACCAATCAGAAGCTGCGCCTAGGTTTTCGAACATTTCAGAAGTAAAACAGGCTTCCAGAAGGGATTAAGTTTGGTATTTTATTTTTGCTATTTATTTTGCATTTTTTGGTTCATTTGTTTTTGTGACTGTGTGGAACCCAGTTCAGCTACTGATTGATAGATTGTGTGACTGCGGAAATGGATAAAGCCCCCCATACAAACAATGATAATTGTCAGTTCAGGTAAGAAAAAAATTAATTTTAATTTTTATAATCTACAGTACTGTCTTATTTATTTTATAGTACAGTTCATTGATTGTTGCTGTCATTTTATGGATCAATGGTCTCGTTAGATAGTAAAATTCATGTTAAACTGCTGTTTTAGGGGTTGTTTTTTAAACTCTGGAACGGATTAATCCGTTTTGCATTACTTTCTATGGGAAAGCGCGCCTTGGTTTTGGAACGCTTTGGTTTTGGAATGGACTTCCTGAACAGATTAAGTTTGAGAACCAAGGTATCACTGTATCTCTCCAGAGCTTTTATCTAGCCCTGAGCTCTTGTGCATTCTGACAGCTGGAGGTGACTAATATACATGGTTGTCTTTAATACATTCATCATCATCTATGTAACCCGCCCTGCGACCTTAGGGTGAAGGGCAGGAAATTAATCTCAAAAATAAATAAAACACAAAGTGCAACCGATGCTCTGCTTTAAATTTATTTTTATGTCGAAGAGAAGGAGAAAATTAATATAAAACAAGTAAGTCACAGTACATAGATTAAACTGTTTGGGGGAATTTTTCAGAGCCTTAGAAAATAGGCTCCTTCTCACTCAGCCTAGCTAGCTTCATACAAGGAGAGATTATTTTTTATTGTGGGGGTTCACTGAAACATGAAATACTCTATATTTCTTGTACACGTGTCTGTGAGGGCTGCACCATGCAGATGGTCTCCAATGGGACAGTTTTACGCAAATCTGAGTAGGATGGAAAACAGCTTTTTAAAAATGTGTCACTTCAGAGCCTTGGCTCAAGAACAAAGGATGCTGAACACGAACTATTAACAGTCCCTGGCCTCTGAGAGTCCAGCGAACTTATACAGGACCTAAAAAGGCTGATTCATGCACAAAACCACAGTAGGAAGAGACCATTCTGCACGTCTGGATCATAGCTGTCAACTTACAGATTTGAAAATAAGGGACCAGCAGCCTCGAAAGTAAGGGACCAGCAGCCAAAATAAGGGATTTTGGCTTAGCTTATGCAGAGATCCGCCACTGATGGAGCCATGCTGCTTTTGCTGCCACTGACTGTGTTTTGCAGGGGGTTGGACTAGACGATCCTAAGGGTCTACAACTCTCACCAAAGAAGAGTGGCAGACAAAACTGATGAACGACATCCAGATGGCAAAGCTTACAGGCAGAATTAGAAACCAGGAAGAGGACCTCTTTAATAAAGAAGGGGGAAAGTTTATAATTTAGTTGAAAAGCTATTGTAAAGAGTTACATACATTGGTAGGATTGGCAGAAAACTTGTAGTTAAAATTTGAACTATGGGTGGACAAATGATTTATAAAAACAGAGTTATGAAAGGGATGCAGAGGGGGAAATCACTACATTAAGATGCTGCACTGGTTGGAGGGTATGCTAAGCAGCACGTTGGGGCTGCGGTCGTCCTGGCGCAAGGAGTTCCATCGGCCCTTCCCTGCCCGAGGGGGGGGGGAGGGAGAGAGACTCTCACCCACGCGCCCGGCATGAGGCGGTTGCGCCGCCGCTGAAGCACCGCCCTTCTGCATCCCTCCCCATCCCTCCTCTTCCTCCTCTCTCAGGCCGCCTCCTCAACCGCTGCTGCCTCCGGCTTCCCCTGGCAGCGCGGTGGAAGTCTCACAAGAGAGAGGCTGCCCGCCCGCCCGCCACCACCCGTCTCCTCATGACGCGCCCCTGAGGGGGAAAAGGGAGAGACGGAGACGTGGCAGCTCGTGCGTGCGCGCTCTCACGTGGCGGAGGACCCCGAGCCACTGCTTCCCTCCCGAGCCAGGCGAGCATGAAACCCGGGAAATTTAAGGGATATCATCAGTAAGGGACAGCAGCGGGACACGGCGCTGGGATAAGGGATTTCCCGCCAAATAAGGGACAGTTGACAGCTATGGTCTGGATACCATCCTGATTTGGCAAATCCTGCACAAAGCAACTTTGTGGATCGGGGGCACGAAGCAATTTGCTAGCTTGAAAAGAATCGGGTCCAGTTCACAAGAAAGCATGGCATTTGTCAATATACTCACTTGTCCAGTCTTCTTCAAAGCAATACAGGAAGTGAAATCCAACCATGATCAGGGCATGCAGGGAAATAAGTGCTATATACATCTGAAACACAATAGGATTTTGAACTATGAAGACACACAGACTTCAAGGCGCATTTTTGCATGCCCCAAATTTGTTTGCCAGTTTTAAGCTGAAGCCGAAATCAAAGACATGGCATTCAGGACAGATAAATATATTCAAGCTCACATGCTTATAGAGATAGCCTTATCCTCACCTCATCTCCTAAATTACTTCAGCCAAAGAATTAACAGGCCAAGCTATATCCAGTGGAAAAATACCTGGAGTAAACTGACTGAACAAGAGGTCTATTCTTCTCTAACAATACTGAATTATGAGATAACGGCAAGGGTAAGAGGGGATCTATTCTTCCATGCCATAATAGCAGGGTGTCCCCCCCCCAAAGCCTGGTCAAACCCTTTTGAAATATGATGGTTTATCAAGCAAGCAAAATAATCTGTAGAAGATAGACTTGATTTAAATCATTATTATTTTTTACAGAAAGAGTCATTCTTGCTGGTATAATCTTAATATTTACAACCAGATGAAGGTTTCATTTTTGGAATAATTTTTTTTTTCAGAGTAGTTTTTACAGTTTACTTCCTTGACATCTCATGGAAGGGCGTTCCACAGGGTGGGCGCCACCACTGAGAAGGCCCTCTGCCTGGTTCCCTGTAACTTGGCTTCTTGCAGTGTGGGAACCGCCAGAAGGCCCTCGGAGCTAGACCTCAGTGTCCGGGCTGAACAATGGGGATGGAGACGCTCCTTCAGGTATACTGGGCTGAGGCCATTTAGGGCTTTAAAGGTCAACAACAACACTTATTGTGCTTGGAAACGCACTGGGAGCCAATGTAGGTCTTTCAGGACCAGTGTTATATGGTCTCGGTGGCCACTCCCAGCCACCAGTCTAGCTGCCACATTCTGGATTAGTTGTAGTTTCTGGGTCACCTTCAAAGGTAGCCCCACGTAGAGCGCATTGTAAAGAGCAGGCCAAAATCAGGGTTCGATATTAACAGGGTGCTAGGTGCATTTTGCACCTAAAGATTCTCCATTTTCGAGCACCTCAAAAAGTCGGGGTGCCGTTTTTGCACCTGGCTGACACTCAAGGATTACTGAAATGTATGTGATCTGAAGCCTTAAAGTATACGTTAAGAATAGATAATATGTTACGGAGTGTTTTGAAAACTCAAGTACGGTACCAATATTTTAATTGTAAATACCAAATTAAACATGTCAATTTTTCTGCTAAAAATGCGGTATTAGCAATGTGTCACTTATTTGAATGCATATTAGTTCATGCTCATCAAATTAATAAATAAAAAGTGTTGCCCACACACACCCCAGTGGTGACTAGACATTTTTTTGCACCCCCCCCCAACCCAGGTCCTAAAAGCCATTTTGCTCCTAGCTTTTCCATCCCGGGTTCTAACATCGGCCAAAATTCCTCCACAACGATGTGAGAGACTGATAAAGACATACAGAAAACCATTACAGTGGTGCCCCGCAAGACGAATGCCTCACAAGACGGAAAACCCGCTAGACGAAAGGGTTTTCCGTTTTGGAGGTGCTTCGCAAAACGAATTTCCTATGGGCTTGCTTCGCAAGACGAAAATGTCTTGCGAGTTCCTGCAGGTTCCCCCCCCCCTTTTCCCAAGCCGCTTATCAGCTGATCCGCTAAGCCGCTTAACAGCTGATCCGCTAAGCCGCTGATCGCTAAGCCGCTTATCAGCTGATCCGCTAAGCCCGCTAAGCCGCTAATAGCACTAATGGGCTTGCTTCACAAGACGAAAAAACCGCAAGACAAAGAGACTCGCGGAACGGATTCTTTTCGTCTTGCGAGGCACCACTGTACTTCAAATTATTGCTGCTAAAGGTGGTTCTACAAGCTATTTAATCATAAGGTGAACTTAAGTTTTTTAATTCAGGTAGGTAGCCGTGTTGGTCTGATGCAGTCAAAATAAATAAATAAAAACTTAGTAAAATTAAATAATTGTCCAGTAGCACCTTAGAGACCAGCTAAATTTGTTCTGGTTATAAGCTTTCGTGTGCATGCACACTTCTTCAGATACACAAACAAACATGCACACTTCTGCAGATACAGAACAAACATTCCTGCTAAGGAATGGATAATTGTTATTATGTCCTGATATGTAAAATCACAGAATTCAAAGAGGGTATACCTTCTTTTTCACATGTGTGTGTGTGTACACATATAAAAGGTAAAGGTACCCCTGCCCGTACGGGCCAGTCTTGACAGACTCTGGGGTTGTGCGCCCATCTCACTCAAGAGGCCGGGGGCCAGCGCTGTCCGGAGACACTTCCGGGTCACGTGGCCAGCGTGACAAGCTGCATCTGGCGAGCCAGTGCAGCACACGGAACGCCGTTTACCTTCCCGCCAGTAAGCGGTCCCTATTTATCTACTTGCACCCGAGGGTGCTTTCGAACTGCTAGGTTGGCAGGCGCTGGGACCGAGCATCAGGAGCGCACCCCGCCGCGGGGATTCGAACCGCCGACCTTTCGATCAGCAAGCCCTAGGCGCTGAGGCTTTTACCCACAGCGCCACCCGCGTCCCTGTGTACACATATATATGTACATAAATATACATATATCTATGTGTGTTGCCCACCACTGTGAAATCTGATCCAATCCAAGATGGGATGCTTTAAATAGGTAATAATGGATACCTTTGCCAGCTTGCTTTTATCTTTTTAAACTACTTTGCCCTGGACATTTTGCAGTGTTAACAATCCATTACTTTCCCTTAAGAATTGCAGTGTAATTATACTGATAACCACAGAAGTCCCACTTGACGTTTCAAGGCCCCTTTATGAATTCCAGGAAAAATCCACACAATGAACTACTTACTGTAAACAGTACAAAGTACTTCTGGTTGTTCTCTCCCACGCAGTTGTTAACCCATGGGCAGTGGTGATCCATTTTCCGTATGCACCTCTTGCAAACACTAAAAGAGAAACGCACACTGTAAATCGAATGCACACGGAAAATCCTTGTGGACTTGTAAAAGGGTAAATGAGTATTGGGAAATGATCCATAATGAAGGAAGAAAAAAGTGTTTACAAGTACTTTCCCCCCAAAAAACCAGTCCTTTCTGTCGGGGATAATTCAGACTGAAATTCCCAGGTGTCAAAAATGGTTTTTATGTATGCTATTACTGCGACCTGTGTTTTGTTAGCCCAAAAATAGAAAACGAGCGAGGTCCCAACTAAAGAATGGCAACTTAAGCTGACAGAATATGCACAACTCGCAGACTTAACATATAGAATAAGAGAACCAGAAGAACATACATTTAAAGAAGATTGGGAAACGTTTACTGAATATATGGGAAATAATTGTGCACTGCTGAAAACGATGGAAGCATTAAGATAAATTCAACAGTGCAAACAAGTTTTGACGCATGCAGTAATGGAATACTGAATGGTGTAGTTTTTGTAAAATAATGCACGGATTTATGATGTGTAAAATGAACCATGGAAAGAGAAGAAGGGAAGTCACTGGTATCTTAAGGATGTAAAAATGAGTGCTTTACAGTGGTACCTCGGGTTACATACATTTCAGGTTACATACGCTTCAGGTTACAGACTCCGCTAACCCAGAAATAGTGCTTCAGGTTAAGAACTTTGCTTCAGGATGAGAACAGAAATCGGGCTCCGGCAGCACGGCAGCAGCAGGAGGCCCCATTAGCTAAAGTGGTGTTTCAGGTTAAGAACAGTTTCAGGTTAAGTACGGACCTCCGGAACGAATTAAGTACTTAACCTGAGGTACGACTGTAAATTGTAAAACAGAAAACTTAATAAAATTATACAGTCGTACCTTGGTTTTCGAACAGCCTAGTTCTCAAACGTTTTGGCTCCCGAATGTTGCAAACCCAGAAGTCACTGCAGGAGCTTCCTGCAGCCAATCAGAAGCCGCGCCTTGGTTTTCCAACGTTTTGGAAGTCAAACTGACTTCCAGAACGGACTCCGTTCGACTTCCAAGGTACAACAGTATATAAATCAAAAGTGGAATCCCATCCGCTTCAAAGACCCATGTTTTTTCCAGGTACCAGATCACAATAGAACTATTTCCACTTGGCCAAAAGCTTGAGGTCACAAGAGCCGAAACGCAGCCAAGGTGCAAATGAAAGATGGAAATGTGCTTGCATCACAATAATGACAGGTACAACCCGCCCTATATTGGATTACTGCAGATGTAATGCATCAAGCCATCCCGCTCATCATCATAAGTAAACCATAAACGAAAGAATGTGCCCGTACCTGCAGTGGTGTGCTCTGTCAGGTTTGATGCTACAGCATTTTGGACACTTGTAAACTACTTGCCCCGGCTTCAGCTGCAAACTTTCTATGAACTCTTTTGTGGCGTTACCTTTGGGGACTGCACCCTGCAAACGAAAATATAAGGGTTTCGGAGCGCTTTCGGTCACTATCAGGGGGAAAAACCTCAATAGGCCCCATCACAGAACTGCTGATTACACAGGGTAAGTTAAACTTCGCTCTCCTAGGTACATTAACAGAGTTTTGTTGAAATGGTATTCAACACCAGTGCAAACGTTTTGAGAAGTTAAAAAACACAGGCCCTTCACTCTCCCCTCCAGGGTTGGCACAGCCAGCCTCGAACTCTACCATTAACTATAGTTTCCCATTACACTGGGGCCTTGGTTCTCAAACGCCTTGGTACTCAAACAATTTGGAACCCAAACACTGCAAACCCGGAAGTGTGTGTTCCGGTTTGCGAACTTTTTTTGGAAGCTGAACGTGCTCCGTTTTGAAGGTTACACTTCCAATTTGAGTGCCATACTTCCGTTTTGGGTGTTACACTGAGGTCTGTCTGTTTTTGCTATTTATTTTGCGTTTTTGCAGCTCTTTTTTGTTTTGTTTTTGTGACTGTGTGGAACCCAGTTCACCTACCGATTGATTGATTGTGTGACTGCAGTACATTGTTTATTGCTTTCATTTGATGGATCCATGGTCTCGTTAGATAGTAAAATTCATGTTAAATTCATGTTTTAGGGGTTGTTTTTAAAAATCTGGAACGGATTAATCTGTTTTGCATTACTTTCTATGGCAAAGCGCGCCTTGGTTTTGGAATGTTTTGCTTTTGGAACGGACTTCCGGAAGAGATTAAGTTTGAGAACCAGGGTACCACTGTATGTCCAAACTGGGTAACTCTGGTTAACGACTTCAGAGCAAGGCAGGAAACTAAGACAACTTCAAACCATGGCTTCTTATTCTGAAGCCATCAGCCACACTTTCCCTGTTCAAGTGTAATGGGAAGCTATAGTTAATGGAAGTCCTGTTCATTTGAAATGTGAAACAATACAGGGTTAGAGGGAAGACCATGGATTTGTATGTCTCTTTCGAGGTCGGCTAGAACTCCAAATAAAAGTTTAGGAAAACGAAAACAGACCCACCCATTTTGCTAGACTGGGAGATTCCCATCTATGTCATCTGTTACAAATTTGCAAGCTGAACAGATAACATTTGGGCAATAATCCAGATAAGAACATAAGTCAAGACTTACACGCAAAGGGGAAAGCTGCTTTTTCCTGAAAATTTCAATCTCGCAGCCCTCTGAAGAGCTGAAAGCTTGAAAAAGTACTTTAGACAGGACGACAGTTCAAATACACTTGGATAAAACTTGGGCGTCCTTCAATAGCCACTAGCCAGTGCTAACACAAACGCTTTTATTCAGAATAGATTTTAGTTGTGGTGGAACTTTCCCAAAGAAACAGGAATGCAAGACAGGCTTTCCCCAGCTTTTCATGCCACAACATGTCAGCAACGTTGCACATACTACTGAAGAGAAAGAAAAAGGACAGACTTCTTTTCCATCCTCCTTCATCTTATTCAAATGATGCTTTATTGCCACTCCATCGCTTCTCTTAATCACGACCCCAGTATTATGATCTGCCCCACCCCCACAAAAATGCATATAAAGGGACAATGCTTCAAATAAATCAAGTTCTTCCCACTCATGGGGACAGGTTGGTAGAAACCCAGACGCTTTATCAATACAGTGGAACCTTGGTTCTCAAACTTAATCTGTTCGACTCCCAAAACCGTTCAGAAACCAAGGCACGGCTTCTGATTGGCTGCAGGAGCTTCCTACAGTCAAGCGGATGTTCAGCTTCCGAGAAATGTTCAAAAACCAGAACACTTACTTCCGGGTTTTCGGTGTTGATTTGTTCGTCAACTAAGCCGTTCGAGAACCAATGTTCCAGTGTATCGTGTTTGCGTGTGTTCAACAGGTTCTAGAATATTTAGTCCCTAAATCACCCTCAAAAGAACAAGAGAACTAGCTAGCAGCCGGTTAATATATTCCGAGAGGAAACTTACTGGATCTGTTACCATAGCTCTCATGTGCGAAGCCAGAGCCAGGAACGCCAATGTGTTGAAAACGATGGCGTTGATCACGCTGTAAATATAGTCTCTGGAGGGAAGCAGCATCACAAGGATGACCACAAAGTCGGCATAGAAGACCAGGAACCAAGTGACGACCGCACAGGCAATACCACAGCCATCACGGATAAACCACATTGTTCCCGAGGAACCGCGGCTGGGAGGTGGAACGCACTGGTCCGGTTGAAGGTATTCCGGTTTCCTCTCAATATCCCTGCATCGGTGGATTGGAGTAATCATCATAGGCTATAATGTCCATTCTTGGATCTGGAAAAAAGATTAAAAGTAAATAACGGTCTTTTGTCTCACGAACTTCGTCAAAGGGGATCGCCTCTAGGTCATGCAATTCTCATGAGGGAACTCTTAAAGGGAGTTTAAAAAAACAAAAAGGTGGTGATTTATTGAATTTATTTAATATACCGCCCTATACCCGGGAGTCTTAGGGTGGTTCACAGAATAAAATCAAGATATAAAACCACAAAATACCTAATAAAAATAAAAACAGCAACCCAACGTTATGTACGTGACACTTCACAACCAAACACATTTTGGCATGATGCATTAACATTAAAATTAATATGAATAAATTTGAGTATTTATATATATATATCCCATTTTGGACTGATTCTTTTTTAAGTTTAAAAGATCAATATTGAACACGGATATAAAGGAAAATTGTTAACGAAACTTGAGTTTGTCTATGAATGCTACAAGCGCCTACTATTCTACCACACATGCTAGAAGGACTTGTAATTTCCAAACCACAAATGGCTCATTTTCATTGTAGAGGCTGATGGCGACAAGTTTTATTTTACAGTATAGGCACAATTGAGATGAGTTCTCAGGCTGTTTGGATACGCAAGTGGAATCCATAAAGAAATGTTCCATGTTGTATTACACACAGAGAGAGACACAAAACTATATCCACATACAGAATCAGTACCTGAGAACCTTCTAAAAATTCAAATGAGGAATTCTATTCCTTAATATGGGTTATATGTAATTAATGACAATCTCACTGCAAAACCGTGAGTTGATTATTCTAATTATCACTGTTCAGATTGAGCAAACACATAAATGGAAATTGCTCAAGGTCCACAAATTAAAAACTAGTTGAACAGAGCATGGGCTACATTATGCACAAGTAAGTATTCTGCATTTACTACCATTTAGAGAAGGCCGGGAGGGAATGGTTACCAAGAGGATATTTATTTTTAGCTGGAATAGGTTGGGTTTTTGTGTTTTGTTTTTAATCAATTTCCAACAAAATATGACTAGGACACTCCTGAAAACAAATCTAGTGCATGAGGAAGAAAGTTGCTGAATTACTGAAATACCTATTTCTGCATTATTTTGGCATCTTAACTATGACAAAAGAATTTACATTCTGTGAAGAGACTCTTCTGTGCTACAGCTTCACACTAGTTTTCAATGTGTTAATCATATTCAAGACTTAAATTGTGAAAAGCCCTAGAAATCCAGTAACCTCCCTTCTACCCACCACTTTAAACATTCAATGGATTTTTTAAAAACCTGCAATTTCCAATTGCCAATGGGGAAAACATTTAAATACAGCAATTCTTTCTTCTCTGGCAATCACTCGTAGCTGAGGAAGATTGTCTTCCATAAACATGGTTTTAACAATGAGTCTGTAAGTGACTGTGGAGGCCAATTCTGGATCCACATGCCCTTCCACAGTGAAGACATAGGTTTCTGGGCAGGAATTGATCATGGTGAGGGTTTGTCAAGCATGCCTTCCTCTTAGCGCGTTTCTCCCTTGCGCCCTGAATTCAAGTGTCTTCAAAGCCCACGACACCTTTGGTAAAGGCTGCTCTCCAACTGGAGCACTCACAGGTGTTTCCCAATTCTTGGCGTTTATACTGCATTTTTAAAAATTTGCCTTGAGACAGTCTTTAAACCTCTTTTGTTGACCACCAGCATTACGCTTTCCATTTTTAAGTTCGGAATAGTTGCTTTGGAAGGCGATCATCAGGCATCCGTACACAACATGACCAGTCCAACGAAGCTGATGTTGAAGAATCATTGCTTTGACACTGGTGATCTTTGCTTCTTTACAAGATTCCCGACAGCTTTGCTCACAAGGGTCATAGGAACATGCAAGCCCACTCACCATGACCAGGTGATGATCCAGCGAGTGAGACTCAGCAATTTAACAGGATTATCACTGACTTACGTATGGATGTGAGAGCTGGACCATAAAGAAGGCTCATCGCCGAAGAATTGATGCTTTTGAATTATGGTGCTGGAGGAGACTCTTGAGAGCCCCATGGATTGCAAGACGATCAAACATCTCCATTCTGAAGGAAATCAGCCCTGAGTGCTCACTGGAAGGACAGATCCTGAAGCTGAGGCTCCAATACTTTGGCCACCTCATGAGAAGAGAAGACTCCCTGGAAAAGACCCGGATGTTGGGAAAGATGGAGGGCACAAGGAGAAGGGGACGACAGAGGACGAGATGGTTGGACAGTGTTCTCAAAGCTACCAGCATGAGATTGACCAAACTGCGGGAGGCAGTGGAAGACAGGAGTGCCTGGCGTGCTCTGGTCCATGGGGTCACAAAGAGTCGGACATGACTAAACGACTAAGCAACAACAACAACAAATCACTGACTTCCGTTCGGAATCTGCGATACGGATGGTAATGTTGCTAACAGCTTTACAGACTTGCGTTGCCCAGCCCCCCACCTCCCCATACTCGGCAAATGTCCGAATGCTGAGAATTAAAGATCAAAACACTCCACCTTTACAGCCCGCCACGGATGGCAACGCTTAGTCTACAGTGATAACCACAGCGATGGCAGCTTCCTATTCTTGAAGCCTACCAGAACTACATTTGCCTCCATCCCAGGGTGGATAAAAATGAATGACTTTTTATTATTTTAAAATAAGAATTGGATTTTATTTTTTTTATTCAAATCGGGTTTTTAAAAATAAAATGCTTTTGGAGGAAAAATCTTTGTAAAGATTTTCTATTTAAGTTACACTATAGTTTAATGGCTATTCATCAGGAAATAAGGATTTGTTTTTAAGTATGTAGCATGAGGTTTTGTATGCAATGTTTGAAATATTTTGGTAAATGAATTCCATTAATCCATTCACAATGTCACGCTCTTCCAGAGGTTTCTCGAAGATTATTTGGGGCAGTTTTTCTAACGAGAAGATATTATCACAGATGCTTGTCTTTGCAGTTCTCAAAAGTGTGAATTTGTGTCTGCAGAGATAACATGCCTTTTCTTCACAGGAAAAAATGTTATAAAATAAACATACAGAGTGGAGGAAAAACCTTAATCCCATTGTTCCTTTGCAAGTTTATATACACAGAATCTATTTTAGTTAAATAAATTGTTTAAACTTTTATTAAGGAAATGATTCTTTTTCTCCTTCCAATAAAGTACAGCAGAAGAGTCGCCCAAATATAAACAGTTAACAAACCTCGTAATAATTTCATAATTATCGGTCTATGTGTTTCTAATAGTACAACCAAATCAGTATTTTTTTATATAACTGTAAAAACTACTCTGAAAATTTATTATTCCAAAAAATGAATCCTTCATCTGGCTGTAAATATTAAGATCATACCAGCAAGACTGAGCCTTTCTGTAAAAAAATGATTTGAATCAAGTCTTACTGACTAGTGATTTAAATCAATTTGATTTAAATCAAATCCATCCTGCTCCATCCTCTCAGCAATAGCCACCAAGCCTCCAGGAATCCAGGAGGATTCCCTGATCCTGAATGGGGAAACTGTGCCCCTGAAGGACCAGGTGCGCAGCCTGGGAGTCATTCTGGACTCACAGCTGTCCATGGAGGCGCAGGTCAATTCTGTGTCCAGGGCAGCTGTTTACCAGCTCCATCTGGTACGTAGGCTGAGACCCTATCTGCCTGCGGACTGTCTTGCCAGAGTGGTGCATGCTCTGGTTACCTCTCGCTTGGACTACTGCAATGCGCTCTACGTGGGGCTACCTTTGAAGGTGACTCGGAAACTGCAATTAATCCAGAATGCGGCACCTAGACTGGTGACTGGGAGAGGCTGCCGAGACCATATCACACCAGTCCTGAAAGATCTTCATTGGCTCCCAGTACGTTTCCGAGCACAATTCAAAGTGTTGGTGCTGACCGTTAAAGCCCTAAATGGCCTCGGTCCAGTATACCTGAAGGAGCGTCTCCACCCACATCATCCAGCCAACTGATGTCCAGCGCTGAGGGCCTTCTGGCGGTTCCCTCACTGCAAGAAGCAAGGTTACAGGGAACCAGGCAGAGGGCCTTCTCGGTAGTGGCACCTGCCCTGTAGAACGCCCTCCCAGCAGATGTCAAGGCAATAAACAACTATTTTACTTTTAAAAGACAACTGAAGGCAGCCCTGTTTAGGGAAGTTTTTAACGTTTGACGCTGTATTGTTTTTAATATTCGGTTGGAAGCCGCCCAGAGTGGCTGGGGAAACCCAGCCAGATGGGCGGGGTATAAATAATAAATTATTATCATCATCATCATCATCATCATTATTGCTCTAAATCAGCCTTCCCCAACCTTGGCTCCTCTGGTTGTTGCTTGACCAAAACACCCATAACCCCCTACCACTGACCATGTTGGCTGTGAGTTGCACTTCAAGAACATCTGGGAAAGCCAAGGTTGGAAAAGGTGTCTCCAGTCTCTTGTCTGGAGACTCCAAAGCTATAAACCTAACAATTAGGAAATCATCTACCAAGCCAATGAAGGGAGCTGGGGCTCTTTCCCCAAAACCTCCCCAACCTGTTTGACCAGATTCAACACTGGGGGAAAATGCCGTAGGTGTGGATAAGCGAAGTGCCTTCAAACCACTGTTTCAAACTCTTGCCTGCTTTTAGCCTTACAGCGCCGTAGTCTTTCTCCGATCCAGTTATGGATTATCAACCGTTTCACTTTATGGTGTCAAAATACAAGGGTGACCTTCTGGGAGCACCAATTCTTAAAGCGAGAAGTGAGAAGCACTTTGTGGTTTGAGCAAATCACTGGAACTCATTCCTGTTCCTCCACCTATAATAATACTGCAGTATTAGTTATGTAACACCTTACACAGAGCTGTTGTGAGAATGAGTAATATCAAGATAATGCAGTTTGAAGGGCAGAGCTGCCTATAATCAAATAATACAGTCATGAAGAGCAAAGACTTCTTTAAGAGGAAGAGAAAAGAAAATCAGAAAGTCTTGGCAGAAGAACGAACAGTCTCCATTGAAAGCAGTACCTGTCTCTAGGCAGCAAGCATTTTAATGACTTTTCAAAAAGTCAGGGTACTTATTGACCGTAGCCGAAAGTGCCTTAAAAGTGACTGAAATTATTGGGATAATAACCGTCCCTGTCCATCCGACAAACCTACAACATCCCCGACTGAGAAAGCTGACAGTGAAATCTCCATGCCTAATTTTCTCACGAGGAAATAGTGACGATTGAGACAGAATTCCAGGCCTTGCTGGCAAATTAAAAACCAACAAATCAACAGTTCCAGATGATATTCTCGCAAGAGTTCTTAAAGGAACTCAAATGTGAAACTGCTCATTTTCTAACAAAAATATGTAATTCGCCCCTACGACTGGCAAGGACCAAAAACCAGTGGCGGAACACCAAGTTTTAGAAGTGGGTCCCAGTGGAATCCAGGAAATTAGCTTGATGTTGGTTCTAGGAAAACTGGTGGAAAGAATTATTAAAGATATAATCAGCAAGTATATAGAAAATGTCTTGCAGGAGAAGAAACATCATGGCTTACACAGTTAGGTCTTGTCCTTTCAGAGTACAGTGGTTGTGAACGGGATCCGTTCTGGAGGTCCAGCCGTATCCCAAAGTTTTCGCAACTGGAGGACCGCTTCTGCGCATGCACCAGCGGCAAAACACTTCTGGGTTTGCCGCTTTTGCAACCCAAAGTTTGCGTTACCTGAGGGCAACGTAACCCGAGGTTCCACTGTACTTTTAGAGTATCAATAAGCACATCAATAGGGGTGATGCAGTAACTGGTTAAAGAATTGGAAGTCTCAAGAGTAGGGGGGGAAATGGCAGTTCTTTCAAAGCAGGGGTGTGAGAATTGGGGTTCCCAAGGGTCTGTATTGGGGCTGGTGCTTTTTAAACTTGTTTTTAAATGATTGGCATTTGGGGGTTAGGAATGGGATAGCTTGGTTTGCTGTTCTGGGTGGTTTAATCCAAAAAGGACCTCTCCAAACTGGATGAATGGGCGTTAAAATCAGAAATGCAGTTCAATGTAAGAGAGTGCAAACTGACAAATAACACATGACTTCACCTAGACACTTCCGGCATATGAAGTCGCCAGGGTTAGGGTTGTGGCAGATCGCTTGATGAAGATGTCGACCAAGTTAATGGCAGCCATGAAAAGATTCCACGTTAGGGATCATTAGATTGAAAGTAAAACTGCCAATATTCACGGTGTGACTGCGCTTTGAATATTGTGTTCAGCTCTGGTTGCCGCATCTCAAAATGGATGTTGTAAAAGCTGGAAAGTTTCAGAAAAGGGTAGCCCAACCGGGAGGCTGGAGCAACTCCCTTATGAGGAAAGGTTATGAAATTTGGACTTAAGTGTGGGCTATGAGAGAAGTGTATAAAATTTTCCATGGTGTTCTTCTTCCTCTCATATAACAGTAGAACTTGGAATCATCTAAAGGAGCTGGAAAAGTCAGAATATAACAAAGGTGTATTTTTGCACAATTGCCTGTAGAGAGGGTGCTACAATAAATAAATAAATAAATAAATAAATAAATAAATAAATAAATAAATAAATAAATTCTACTCCGCCCATCTGGCTGGGCTTCCCCAGCCACTCTGGGCGGCTTCCAACAAAATATTAAAATATCGTAATACATCAAACATTTGTAGCACCTACGTCCTGCTTGGGGAATACTGGGATTCCTGTATATTTTTCACAGTATCTCCTCACAAACATGAAGGTTAGGGGTTAGGAATTCAAATACAACCACCAGCTTAAAAAAACAACCACCTGCGGGGAATGCCAGAAGAAAGACAAACATTCCTGGTCACTGTATAAACCTTGCTTTTTCAATTACACTGAGTAAAAGACAGTTAATTCAAGGCTCAGTAGGTAATGGCTGCAAGTCTGGAACCTACTCCCATGTCTTTTTAAAAAAAAAAAAAAATTTAATATCGCTAAAAGCCACTTCCAATTAACCACAATCATCCAGCCTCCAAAATATAGTACAAAACTGAATGTGAAGGGTTACCTAGCAACCAGGATACAGGGCCAACGACGGCCTTTGGCTGTGGGATGGGGAGAAGGGGGCATCAAACTTCTGGGCCTGATAAGGATAATATCACCAAGGAGCCTTTGATCCTCCGCATCTTGGCTGGGGAGAAGCTGGCCATTCCTGAGAAGATATAAAAATGATCTAAATGTTCTCCAAGGTATTTGCTTTCCTGCAACTGTTAGCATTCAACAGCGCCTTTGTTGACATAACATAGGTGCGTGCACACAGATGCCCAAATAGTCGGCCGGCTTGGAACTGAAGCCAATTTGCTTTTAAATAAGTCAGTTTTGCCACTAGCATGCATGCTTGAACTTTCTGAGACCGAATGCATGCTTTCAAGGATCCAGAATCTATGCATTGCCGAATTTGGTGATTCAGCCAAGAGTAACAAGTTCACAAATAGCAACAGGTGCTTGCAAAGGGTATTAGTTAACATAGCAAATATATCAATAAACTCTCCTTTAATATCCAACAGAGGGTAATCTCTCTCTCTCTCTCTCTTGTTTTATTTATTTAGGGTTTTTGCTATTTTGAGTGCTGCCTTCCTTTCTATTGTAGTCATTTCCTTTCCCCAGAAAGCCAGGTATAAGATAATCACAGAACCCGTCGTCTGATATGCAGTACCACAGAATAAGCCTTCAGTTGGCTATACTGTTAAGAGATTTTTTTAAAGATTAACTGCAGTGGGAAAGGAGGAGGTGATTTTAGTTGGGATCATGGCTGGAAAGGGACCTGGTGTGGTGCAGGGCCAATGAAAATTGGGAAATCGACACACCTAGGTTTTAAAAAATTTAAGCCTCCTGATGTGGCTACTAACCATGCAGCTAATGTAACAGGTAACTTGACCCCTACTTAGTTCCATCTTCAAGAATGAAAGCACAAAAGGACCTTAGATTAAACTACTGCTCCACCACCCAACCCAATTTTGCCTACTCTTAGTTAGTGGCAGCTCTCCCAGGCATCGTTAAAGCCATGGCTTTCCCAGTAGTGATGTATGGAAGTGAGAGCTGGACCTTAAAGAAGGCTGATCGCCGAAGAATTGATGCTTTTGAATTCTGGTGCTGGAGGAGACTCTTGAGAGTCCCATGGACTGCAAGAAGATCAAACCTCTCCATTCTGAAGGAAATCTGCCCTAAGCTCACTGGAAGGACAGATCGTGAAGCTGAGGCTCCAGTACTTTTGCCACCTCAGGAGAAGAGTAGACTCCCTGGAAAAGACCTTGATATTGGGAAAGATGGAGGGCACAAGGAGAAGGGGACGACAGAGGACGAGATGGTTGGACAGTGTTCTCGAAGCTACCAGCATGAGTTTGACCAAACTGCAGGGAGGCAGTGGAAGATAGGAGTGCCTGGCGTGCTCTGGTCCATAGGGTCACAAGGAGTTGGACACAACTAAACGACTAAACAACAACAACAACTCCAATGTATCAGGGCCAATCCCATTGCCAGCTCAAGCCCTGAAGATGCAGAAGTCTCCTCCTCTTTGATTTTTCATTATTTCCAAAGATGCTCACATACTTTCCCAATCACTGCTTTGTAGCTTGAGTCCTCCCCAAGCAGTCTAGATATTTATAGCTTAATTAACAGTGTCCTGTTTCTTTGCTTCATTTTAGAACAGACTCGGTGGGTAAACGTCAGCTTGTCTATAGGAAAATCTGTTTTATTTTTCTGCTGCGAAAACACACAGGGTTGCCCGTGCAAAATCATCATCATCATCATCATCATCCCTTCCATCTGCTTTTTAAGAACGGCTAGTTGAAATTTGCTTTTACTGACTCCGAGATCAATGCTGTGTTAAGAGACACAAGCTCCCCATTTTCATGTACACTGTTTCCCCCCTCTGTGCTAGTTGACCTTTTATTTTATTTTTAAATGGCTTTTTATATGTTCAGTATCTAAATTTTTTATGTACAATATAAAATAATAATCTGCTTGGAATTAAGAAGTGCTTCAGATGGTACAGAAAAAGATGGGATTCCTATACCTCCACTACGAAATGATCGTGTCTTTTCTGTAAAATTTAAAGACATTTTTGTCTGAAAATAAATTTACTCAAGAGGCCTCGAGCAAACACGACTCCCACGTACAAGATTGTTCAGATCCTTCAAAAAAAACTCAAAACAAATTGCAGAAAATCTATGGCATAAATACAGGGACTAGTTTTTTATGTAAAATGCGTAGCAGCCCAGAACAGGGTGCTTGGTATAAACTGTGCTCACTTATATGGTACAGTGGTACCTTGGTTCTCAAACTTAATCCCTTCCGGAAGTCCGTTCCAAAAGCAAAGCGTTCCAAAACCAAGGCGTGCTTTCCCATACAAAGTAATGCAAAATGGATTAATCCGCTCCAGTCTTTTAAAACAACCACCAAAGCATGAATTTAACATGAATTTTACTATCTAACGAGACCATGTATCCATAAAATGAAAGCAATAAACAATGTACTGCAGTCACACAATCCATCAATCAGTAGCTGAACTGGGTTCCACACATTCACAAAAACAAAACGAAAAGAGCCGCAAAACACAAAATAATAGCAAAAACAGACAGACCTCAGTATGACACTCAAACGGAGCATGTTCAGCTTCTGAAAAAAGTTTGCAAACCAGTTTGCAGTGTTTGGGTTCCAAGTTGTTTGAGTACCAAGGCATTTGAGAACCAAGGTACCACTGTACTTGAATTCATACTGGATGCCATATGTAACCTTGACCTGGATCAGATGCTGAGTCCTCAGAGGACAAACCAGACCACCAAACATGTCAAAAAACACGTCTTGCGGTCCCTTGATGGGTCATCAGGGTCAATGAGTAAGATGTCTGCTTATGAATAAGCAATCCCTGGTGTGCCTTCACTGCAGGAGGTGTGACTTAGGCAGTAAGAATATACCGTCGTACCTTGGATCCCGAATGCCTTGGAACTCGTACATTTTGGCTCCCAAATGCCGCAAACCCAGAAGTGAGTGTTCCAGTTTGCAAACCTCTTTGGAAGCCAGAGATCCAACACAGCTTCCGCGGCTTCTGATTGGCTGCAGGAGCTTCCTGCAGCCAATCAGAAGCCACACTTTGGTTTCCGAACGTTTTGGAAGTCGAACCGACTTCCGGAACGGATTCCGTTCGACTTCCAAGGTACGACTGTATAAAGCAGGGTTTATCTTCTTGCCTGGGCCAGATCAGTCCCATGGAGATCCCACCGTGGGCCGGATTGCGCCGTGCATGTTTTCGGCGTTTGCGTAGGTGTGATTTTCAGTGTATGTGCATGCACAGATGCAATTTTTTTGGCGTGCAGAAGCGAATCCCCGTGCTGCGCTACGTCGTTTACATAGCTGTCAACTTACAGATTTGAAAATAAGGATCAGCAGCCAAAATAAGGGATTTTCCAACACAGGTAGTTTCAACTTCTGAGCCCCTCCAAGCCAAAGGCAGAAAGCCCAGCCCAGCAGCCAAACGAAGCCTCAAGCGGTGTTCCCACAGCACAGCAACCCAGCAAAGGGGATGCAGCAAGGAAAACCACCGTTACCTCTCCGCTGGGAAGCGCTGAGCAAAGGCGAGTCCCCAGGCAACACGGCCGATTTGATCAGCACAAGGCATGCAAGCTCCACCCCCCAGTCATTCTTAGACTCCTTATTGGGTGAGCAACGCAGCCGAGCAACAAAGTTGGAGCCTCCCTCCTCCCTGGCCGGCAGGAGGGAGGGAGAGGAGCTGCTTCCTTTGAAACCCGGGCTATTTAAGGGACATCATCAATAAGGGACAGCAGCAGGACACGGTGCTGGGATAAGGGAGTTTCCCGCCAAATAAGGGACGGTTGACAGCTATGGGTTTAGCGCTGTGCACAAGCGGCAATACTCGGTTTCAGGGGCGGCTCATGGGCCAGTCAAACGACCTCCATGGGGCGCTTCCAGCCCATGGGCCTTAGGTTTCCTGACCCCTGGTATACGCCTCCCTCTTTCAACAAAAACCAACAAATGAATAGACCTACCCACGTGACACTGACACAAAACCTACGCATACACTATGTAGAAGAATGAAAGTTTACTTCTCCACCTCTCTTCTCCCCCAACTTTATACTGCCTATAACACTGGTGACTCACATCGAACATGAATGATGCTGTAGAAAGAACTCTATGAACTTCTTTAATAAAAAACAAATTTTAAAAATAAAGCTCCCTCTTGAACTTTCCAGTTGCTAGAAAACAACATAAGTCTTTCACTTCTTGGTGAAATATTAGATTGTTTCCCGATCATGTTTTGTTTTCTGTAGTTTTCAATTACAATAGGGCAATAAAAGCCCCATATTACAACAATGCCAAATTATGCTACCATTAATAATGCCAATCACTCAACAGCCAAATTGTACAATTTAGGTGGGAGAATTGATGGTTTGGCGATTTACGCTATTTCTGCGTTCCAAAATATTATAAATTTCCATTACACTTTCCAGTCAGAATCACAAACCCTTATACCGCAGCTGCAATTTAACGACTTCCATTCGCATTAACACCTTAAATGATTATAGTCCTACAGGTGAAGTATTCAAACTCTCTCTTTGTTGTTCTTGTGTGTGGCAATTATTCTGTCCTTGATGTTTCTCCTTGGCTTTGTTGCTCCTATATTGCACATTGAATCCCACTCTCCTGGGCAAGTGTTTTGGTAAAAGCTTATCCTCTAGGACTCCAGGTCCTGAGGGCATCTCCAGAGCATAAGCCAAAATCAAACCTTACGAATAAGCCAAAAGAAGATAACTAGCCTGCAAACAATTCCTCTAGCCTACCAAGGGATTAGCAGCCTGTGTTTCCATGCTGAATATGGAGAAAGGGAACCTATCTTCCTCCTCTACAGTCAACATGATAAGTCTTCTACCAAGTGGATTAGTGGCGAAGCAACAGAGCAATGTTCTGCAAATTCTGCTCCATTTCCTGGGCCGCTGCAGAGGAAAGAGCTTTGCTTCTAACATGGCTAATACAGATTTCATCTCTCTTTTGCCAGCCTGCTTGTCTTCGTGGGATTCCAGGTGCCCTGGCTGGCGAGGTGAACATGAGGCTGCCAGGATACTCCCTTCACCTCCGAATTGTTGCAAAACGGAATGGGAAACACCATAACATGAGATGCAAGGGTAAGCAGCAGCTCATTACTTGTTGGTA